AAAAAAAAAAGGTACATTGGGCGCCCGGTTAGCTCAGTGGGTAGAGCTGGCGACCCATGTACCGAGGCTGAGTCCTTGCTGCAGCGGCCCAGGGTTTGAATCCAACCTGTGGCCCTTTGCTGCGTGTCATCCCCTTTCTCTGCCCCCTTTTCCTGTCCGTCTCCAGCTGTCCTATCAAATAAAGGCATAAAAAAAAATAAAATAAAAAAAAAGCCGAAAACAAATGTTCCTTTAAAAAAAACTCAAAAAAGGAGTTGTCTTTAAACCTAAGACTGAGTCTAATATGCACATTAAAAAACAGATTATTATTTACTTACTATTATTTTCATCATTCTAACCTTTCCACTGTCATTATAATCATTGTCCTCTATCCTCCATCAGCACCAAAAAAGCAAACGTCTGGAAAGCTTGTATTTTATGCAGTGAGACAGGAAAATCATGATGACCCTCTTCTTCTCTTTCCTCTTGTGAACTATAAAGTGAGAAAAGTCCCAAATTAGCAGTTTCAGTTGACATGAGCAAAGCTCAACACCCAATGATTCAGTGGCTCAGGGGGTTAGTGATGCTCATCACACAGTCCTATATATGTACATGGTAATTAATTACAGTCTTACATCATTCAAACACAGATTGCATAACTCCCACCAGCTGGACAAGTAGGGACACACACACACACACACACACACACTCCCACACTCCCTCATCCCTGCAGGTTGATGTTGTTTTGAAGTGGTCTGGACACACACCCAGAGCTGGATCTCACACCAGAACATTCTGTATAAATGTTTTTAAATGGATTAAAGTCACTGAAGATGTGTCATGCTAACTGGTTCTACAGAATATTTTAATACATGGAAAAGACTAATCACCCTGGCAAATTGCAGGATAGGCCGCACACTGATGTTGAATTTCAGGATGACTGAAGCTTGGAGTAAACCAGTTCAGTTTTTAGGAACATCTTTAAAGGGGATGGCCTAATGTGGTTTAAATTAATCAGACTGCTTCAAGGGATATTAGGAGATCGAATAGGACTGAATGATGCCAAGAATTAAGGAAGGACAAATTCAAACAGTAACTCAGGAGTGAATCAATGGAAAAATCTTGAGGATGATCTGGAAATATTAGTGTAAATATTAGAGTATAGAAATACAAAAGATTATATATATGTACATGCATGTTTTTTATATACATAACTACCATTTTATTCATTGTCTGGACTGTGTAGGTTGTTAAATGTTCTTATTTATGTCTTGTGAGAAAGGTAGGCGTAATGAGCTCTGGCTTCAGCCTACATCTTTTCAATCATTGTCTATTTTATCATTTATTTTGTGGCTGTTTAAGCAATTGGGTGCATTAATGTTTTCAGATGATTATTCCATTGTGGTTTTTCAACATACAACATAAAACTAAAAGGCAGAATGTCATTTTCAAGGCGACGTTTAACCAGTTGAAAAATGATGAGACAGTGTTGTGCTACATGGGCATACTGGGGAGGATAGCCCCCCTAGACCTTGAAAGATTTTTGTACACAAGTAAGAACAGAGGACTGTTAGTGCTGTAGTCTATTTGTCCTCCTGGTTTTTGAGTGTTTTGTGTCTGGTGGGTGGTGAAAACCTGTCTCAAACTGATTTTCTTGGTCCTTTCTGTTATAAAGGCTGTCTAAGTGGGCAGTCAGCGGGAGAAGCTCTCAGGTCCCGGTGACTCACCTAACAGCCTCCGTGGATCACTCTCCTTGTCAAAGCCCACTCACAGCCGTCTAAAGTGGCCTTGTTTCCACCGCCTTTCTCATATGAATGTGGGTATTATGCAATTTAAGAGCACTTCATCTCTGTGCTTTATACACAGCTTTAGTGATTTAGGAGGACACAACTGACAATGCTTAATTTCCAGTTGTGGTTACAGTGTGATTTGAGAGACAATACTTTTGGCATCTTACACTTTTGACCTTCAATTGCAACATTCTGAAAAAAATGGGGGGTTATGCCCTTATTTAGACGACATGTAGCAAAGGGCCACGGGTTGGAATCAAACCCGGGCCACTGCCATAATGACTCTTAAAATGGGGCACATCCTCTACTAGGTGAGCTACCAGGGCATCCCCATTACTCTTACCTTTTGACAACTATGGTTACATTACAGATTCAAATCCTCAGTTTCCTCAAAAACTACCCAACAGTACATAGTCACCTGGACCAGCTGCAACACTGAAATACTGCTTATCATAGTATAAATGATAATAATCCGATAATATATATAATCATAGACACTTCTTTACTGGCTACTTTTACTTGCAACACCTCCTCACATGTTGCATTTGCAGTGGTGGAAAGTACATTAATCAAGTATTGTTAGTTTTCAGTATTTCTATTTTCTGCTACTTTGTACTTCTCATTCACTACATTTAACTCAGGATTATTGTACTTTTAACTCTACTAAATGTATTTTCTTTTAGCTAGTTACTTTTTAGTTTAATATTTGACAAAAAGTCCCACAAGTAATGAGCTTATTAAATACAATACATTGTTAAAGATTAAACCAGTGGTTCCCAACAGTAAGTAGTTTGCATATTGTTGCATTGGTACTTTTACTTAAGGGTCTGAATACATCCTCCACCACTGTGCATTTGTTGACTCACACAGTTCAAAATGACTTTTTTCCCCTTAGATTGTTACATTTTAATAATTAAAGTTCTGGAGATGCAAATTAAATGTTTGTGGAGCAGAAATTGTTTTTCTTTACCACCCATTTGATCATTTTTACAACCCTTCAGATTGAATCCAAGTTGTGAACCACTGACCCTTTCTACTCCCTTAGTTCATCATTTTAGCTGGCTGCATGAAGTATCTGGCATCACCTAGTGACAGAAAGAGGAATGATATAAACTAAACATGATTGATCTACCCAAGACCAAGTTCAAAGAAAACAATCTTACTTTGGTCTGACCACATTTTATTGCCAAAAAGCTAAAAATAGACTTTTTTCATTTATTTGACCATAAAAGTCCAAGAACGTTCTTTTTTTTTTTCCTTTTACATTTTAATGATGTGCTAAGCAAACATGAAGTCATAAATTACAACATGTACCAATGGCAAAGTTACATAACACACAGATCCTTAATACAATGCAAACACAGAGTACTTGAAGACACCTGCTGAATAAAATAATAATATGCAAATATTATACTGTCTGTAAATGCATCAGCAAAAAACTGTCAAAATAACAAAATTAAATGGCATCAACCAACAAATGGTCCTGCACTGGCAGCTTACTGATAACAACACATAGACAGGACATCAGTATTTAGATAATTTACAACTGAGTTTATGCCCAAAAAGCTTCTTTTTTTCCGCTTCAGAACAGTGATTTTCCCACAACTCTGACTTTTTCCACATTCCTGATGATGTCTGTACACCACTATAGTATAGACAGATATGCACATACAGCATATACACGCACACGCTCAAACACACACACACATTCTTTATTCCAGGGGATCATGAGGCACTACGTATATATATCCAGCAGTCCAGTCTACCCAGCAGTCTGAGGTCTCCCTGGTTTAGTGTACCTGCATGAATGACACTGCAGTAAGTCTAGGTGTAGTAGATGATCTCTGGTATCTGCCCGTCCTCCACTGACGTACCATTGTTATTTCCAGGTGAGCTAAAAAACAAAAATGTTGTCTTGGTCCCCGTTGCTGATTCCTGGGTCACTTTCTTCAACCCTTTCGTGCCGTAATGGGAGTCTGGGCCCTGAAGTATACAATTAAAAAACAGGCAATAAGTTAATTCTAACTTTGGTTTAAACAAATCATGTCAATTTATGCAATTTAGAACAGATTTTGAAACACAGCGAGTTCAGACTTACCTTTAACGTGGCACATGCAGTGTAGCTGACATTGGGTAGGATTTCCACAGGCTCTTTGAACATCACTCTGAACGTGCTTGCTGTGCCGTCACAGCTGAAACCTGTGTCATTCTGCCCCAGTGTAATGCGTTTGTCGCTCTCTAAGATCTACAGAACAGAAAAATCCTTACTGAATGAACAACAAGGCGTGAAAAACACAGGAGGCAGGGTACACTTCAGAGTTTGTCTGCTTGGTGGTGTATTTTTCTGGTTGGTAACTGGAAGTATTGGCTGTCCTGTGCCTGAAAACATTTCTTTACTACTATATATTCCGCTATGTCCCTTTATAGTGTTGACTAAATCATATCTGCTTCAGTCGGGTGAAAATGTGGCACCGTGGGGATGTTGTGATTACATGATCAGTGTGTGTGACATTGTAGGCTTTCAAGGTTAAAGGGTCATATAAAGGTAAGTTGACAGACAGAATTTGAATTGCTGAACAAATTTGAGATGTGGGCGGTAATTTGGATATCTGCAACCAGACTATGACCAAGCACTAACTACCACCATGCACTGTGCCTTATGCAAGTTGAGTGTTAATGCAGTTTTTGATTTGATCTGCATAGAATTCCCCCATATAGTGAAAAGTGAATACTGAGTGAATTTCAAGAGAGCTTATCCAATACCAAAAACTGTAGAACACAACTCTCCATTACAAACAAAAAGTTTATTTGTCAACATCATTATTCCATAATGCCAGAAGTTACCTGTATGTTGACCTGATAGTCAGTGGGTCCGTGTATCGAACCATACAAGCCAAAACCCACTATGGATATTCTTTTGTTAACATTGAATCTAGAGAGGGAGACAGACACACAGAGAAAATCAGACACTACAATTCCTTCTGATCTGATTAACAACTGACCACAGATGTTCGTCATCTCACCTGATTCTGTCGCTGGTACCACTGTACCCCCATCGACTCTCAACCTGCTGGAATCTATTAATGCTGCACTCTTCCCCCCTGAGGCAGCAGCGGGGCCTGTCAATGTAGTCGACCCGTGGTTTGGGGTTTACTGTAAAGTGTAAAAACAGATTTACCACCTCCCGATCGAACAATATTCCAGACTGGGCAGGCCCTGTTGCACAAGAAAGAATATCAAGCTGGTTTCTGTGGTTTGAGTTGTATGGAAACAACAGGAACAAGATGAACATGTTTAGTAATGGCTGAAATGGTCAGTATAGTGTTGGGGGGGGAGAAAAGTACCATTGCAGAAGAAGAAACACATTTATATTTTGGCGATACACTTACCTGCAGCAAACTCCTCAACAGTCATGAGCGGGAAGCGGATGAGCGGGAGAGCTTTCCCCAGAACCTTCTGTTTGTTCTCCGAGGTCGGGGGAAGCTGTTGTCTGTAACACTCGGCCTCTGCCCAGCGTACCACTGCCCCAAACAGACGGTTCTCCCTGATGCTGAGTGTGTCTCTTTGTAGCACGGCACATAAAGTGTCTATGCACACCAAAACATAGAACATTCATCATATCACATCCCAACAAGCTGTAGAAAAGTAAATATGAGGTCAAGAAGACTCACGTACCGAGGTCAATATCTGTAAAGCCCTCTGCGTTTATTGCGTCTGCAGTGCTTTTGTCTATGGTGTCTAAGCAGAGACTGGCAAGTTGAGGCTCATCGAATAATCTTGCCTGTAATAAAACCACAAAAAAAAGACACATAAGTATTTAATGGTCGATAGTGGCCATTTACTTTACATGCACCAAAGGAGGAAAGCTGCGAAAAAAGTAAATGCCTTCTTTATTTGCTAAATATTGCAAGATTAACCAAAAAGATGTTGGGCAAAATAAAAAGGTTAATTTTCACTAAAAACACTGTAATTAGATTTTTCGATTTCTTGTATTCTAACATCCTGTTAATTAGGGAAATCCTATAATCAAGTCTGACAAATTAATGAAATTATAATGAGTGGGCAATCAGTGAGACTGATAATTAAGAGTAGGCTGCTGGGAATGTGTCTTTTGTTTTCTCTGGGTTGCTTTCGGTGCTTTATGCATGTTGGACAACAAAAAAGGAATGCTGCACATCCAGCCTGAAGGGCACAGCAGCCAGCAGCAGAACAACGTGCTAAAAACAAAACCAACAGCAGCAGAAAACAAAAATAGAACAGCTAATGTCATAAAAACTCAACCATCGATAGCTGAAAGATGGTCTGGTGTGGACATAAAGAAAGAAAAATGGCTTCATCCTCTACTGTGAGGGCTGCAGACGGAAAGAACAATGCAACATTGTTATAACATGGTTTCACGTATCGCCCCAGAAAACACCTTCAAAATCAGGCTGTTATTGAAACCTTCTATTCTTGCCTTGCTCTAACTGTTCTCCTATTGAGGTGCCTTCTGTCTTCAAGTGTGAGATGAGCTAAAATACTATAATGCCAAACATATTTTCTCACTTTCTCCTGGTGGCGTCAGGCCAAGCAGTCAGTTTTGGGTTTTTTGTTTTCCCGTGCTGAGATATGAAGATAACAGCCAAAGTTATAATGTGACAACAACCTGAGTGAGAAGCATGAACGCGTTGTCGGCTCTGAGGTGCTTGGTGAGGAACTCTACACAGTGTCCCTCCAGAGCAGGGACGGCATACTTCTTAGCCGTGTAAAGAGTCGTCATCACTGTCTCTGGACCAATGTGGACCTCGTCAGAATACAGGAACCTGTACAGAGGAAGACAGGCAACAGAACAATGTGTACAGTCAGGTATTCGTGTTATTCGTCTGGAAGCTGGGATCAAATGCCTGGTTCACTTATTAGACAGTACCTGAGTCACGTCATATATTTGTCAACTTTAGACTGTGTTGATATACTGTATGTATATGAGGGCAGTATTCTTGTACAGCTGATTGTCTTCAGAGCATTTAACATTAGAAATGTTTTACGTCTTTCATTAAATGGGAAAAAAGGGGTTTGAAAACATGTTTTTATATCTTAAAGTAAGTAAAGAAAGTAGCGTACTGGTGTCAGACATGAAACCAGGCATTATATCGGCACTAATATTAAAACATTTCAACAGACACTCAGCTGTAAAAAGCACGTGTGAATACTTTTCTGAAAATACAGCGTACTACTGCTGAAATTTAGTTCGTCAGCTATTGTGTCGAACACACAGAAGTGCCCAGCCGGCCCACAGAAAGCTGCAGTGGTGAAACAGTTCTCAAGATGGCTTCATACCTCCTGTCCCCGAATCATCAGATAATGAGTGAGAAAACAGAAACATCCACTTCGTCTTCAGTCTCACATGAATCAGTTTTTCCTCGGAGAATACGTTTGCTTTGTACATCTGGAACATTTTGTGCCGAGCGTCATAAATATTAAAGTTAGTGGTCGACCGATATGGGACTTTCACTGGCCGATACATAATGCCGATATCAAAACCGAGAAAAGCAATGTACAATTCTAATCTACTCTGTTTGATAGTAAATGTATGTTTACAGCAGGATGCAAGAGAGCACGCTGACAAGACCGCCTGCAAATGTGTCTGAAGACATTTTTTATTTATCGGATGCAGATTCTCTCAAAATGCCAAATAATCGGCCCAATTAAATCAGCCTAAGAAACAAACCAATCACACACAATAAAGATTTAACCCCTTACTAATCTCAGGGTGTCCATGCAAAAGGTTTCAATTAAGATCTTTCTACTGAGTCGTTCAGGTATATAGATAGATAGACAGATAGATAGATAGATAGATAGATAGATAGACAGATAGACAGATAGACAGATAGATAGATAGATAGATAGATAGATAGATAGATAGATAGATAGATAGATAGATAGATTTGCGCAAAAGTGCCCAAA